GTCTCTGCGCGGTGTCAGCATCCCGTCCTGGCCGTGAGGCTGGCTGCGGCAGGCCAGATGCTACCCCTGGAGGAAGCCAGGTCTTTCCATGTTACTTCTTACAAATGCTGTGAACTTCCAACTGCCTTAAAACAAAACCTTTAATTAAAAGAAAAAATTAAATGTTCACAACTACTGGCACACAGCAAAGATGGAGAAGCAAAAAGGCTTCAGAATTTTGCCAGGCCGTGACCCCGGTGTTCCTCCTGGTGCCCGTGTCTGCACGGGGAACGCCCACATGCCCCGGGCAAGGACCTCTCGCCATGACCCCACGCACCCCTGGCGGCGGTGCCCGTGGGAAGCCCAAGGTTTAGACTCGGTGACTGTCCACCGAACTTTGCCCGTCATCCTATGGCGGCCTCAGCACAAGGTGAGCCCTGAGCTAATGCTGCCTGAGGGGAACCACTCTGAACCCCACGTTTTCCACATGCCAACAGCAGCCAGAGAGCGCGCCCCACACTCACCCAGGACCTCGGACACCCCAAGTTCCCCGGGCGAGCCAGCACCTGATCCCGGAACCAAAAACATCGCAGCCAGAACCACAGAGACTTAGGATTCTCAGAGCCTCCAGGGGCCTGGCTGCAAGAGGTTCCAGGCACTGAACAGGCTGAGTCCCCATTCCCAGGGGTTGGGGGAAGCTGCCCCCGCACGGCCCTCAACACACAGGTGCCAGGAGGGCCAGCGCGGGGCCCTCGAGACCCAGTCAGCAACAAGGACCTGCAGCCTGCACAGCTCACACCTGTGGTGCTGACTGCACAAGTGGGGACAGACGTCCTGAGGGTGCTTGGTGACCGCGTGTGGGCAGATAGATTAAGGACACAGGTGTGTGTGAGTACAACCTGAAATCACATAAATGGGAGACGGCTCTAGATTTGAGTGATAAGGTCATATTCTGATAGGTGCTGAGATGTGGGATCTCCCCACAGAAACACAGGGCGCGCGACAGCGCGGCTGTCACTGCAGCGTCACCAGGAACACAGGCAAATGCACGTGAACGTGCACGCCCGGGGGGCACCGCCTGGCCCCTGCTTCCCCCCGCGAGTGCCCGTGCGGTCTGGACTGGGGCAGGGATTACGACGAAGGTCTCGTTTTTTATAAGGATGGTCATCCCGATTTTGAAAATAGATCAAACTATATAAACATTCAGTGATTTTAGAAAAACATACGCTTTCCCATACGTACAAGTGAGGAAAGAAACAGAGAAAAATTAGCAAAGATCATTTTAAAAAGAAACCTTAGCTCTCTTCTGAGATGACAGGCTCTGCCAGGGGACGTGCCGGCTCTGCTACGAGCTTACAGGAAGTAGCACGACCTCGCGAACCGTGTTAGCGTCCTTCTGTGCATCGGAACGCGCCGGCAATAACTTCAACACAATCGGTATTGGAAACCACACTTCCAAGTTCAAGAGAAGAAAATTCCATCACAAGTCAACTCGCTAAACTATACTCCAGTGAATTTTCCTCAGAAGAACAAGCAGAGGTGAGACACCCGTCTCTTTGTAGTGTCACCTGACCCTGAAACACCTCTGCCCACGCGGGTGGCACGAACTCCAGGACAGACGTGTGGGCACCTGCTGCCTGACATGCCACCGCCACGCCTGTCGTCGGCCAGCGCCTCCTGACTGCTCACCTGTCTCAGACACCCCGAGCCTGCTGCCCCTTACTCCAGCAAGACTGCATACTCCAAAAGCCATTTTCGTTCCCAATTTTTAAACATTCTAAACATTTTCAGACCACATGCCCTTGTTCCTTACCATCAAGAGAAATAAATCAAACATTTTTTATTTTATTTCCAACGATCTGAAAAGCAGATTCTAAAAACTAAGAATCGCTGATGAAAATGCGCAGTGACGGCTACAGATTTCGCAGCAACACAGCGAGCTGCCACTGCGAGCTGCACTCGGCCACCCTCTCTTCAGCGCAGGTCTGCCCTGTCACCCTCCGTCCACTAAACCAAACCGTGACTCACACCGCACGTGACCCAGCACAGAAACCCGAAGCCCGCTTGACAAGTGCGACACTCTGGAAGGCGCTGCCGCTGCCGCTGCTCGTGACGAATCCACCTCTCATGTCGACGAGGCAGCAACCACGAGGGTGGTCTTGGGAGGACCGTGCAGCCCACTACGAGGAATGACGGGCCCGATGGACCCGGAACAGCACGGCATGGCGTGCGCAGTGAACTGCACTGCTTCTGACGCGCGCGGGGAGTCTGCAGACGCAGGGGATGGGGTGCCTTCGTCCACGCGTTTCACGCAGGGGACCTGAGCATCCGGGTTTTGGCATCTTGGGAGAAGGTGTCCTGGAACCAATCCCTGTGGGTGCCTGAGGACAAGTTTTTTGGGGAGTCTCGCTATATGTGGACTTTTGACCGGGCAGTGCTGGTGCCCTAAGCCCTGAGTTGCTCAAAGGTCAACTGTGTTAACACTGAAAGGTCAAGTCCAAACGGGACAACTTCCTGAACACGGGAGGGGGGGGGGTCTCGCCTTCGTGGCTATGTCATCGCTTCTGTTGTCCAAACTGGAAACCTAGATCCATCACAGGCCCCTCCACTCAGGTCCCACAGCCCAGACGTCCAGCCAGCTGGGGCTTCACTCTCGCTCCTGGCTGGGCACGCCACCCCTGCGGTGCCATGCCGGACACCCCAGGTCTGGGGGATGCCTGCATGGGGACACACAGCAGTCGCACCGCTACCTGGCCCCCCTTGGGCTCAGCCACCACGGCCACAGGTCTCTACTGCTCCACCGCGACAGCGCCAGGTCAACATGGAGGTCATCCTACAGTTCTGTGGAGGTCCAAGGGACACCAGGGCACGTCGGAACGCGCCCCCTGCAGGAGCTGCTGTCCCGCCCCCGCCCGGCTCCCGCCGTCTGTGCTGCGCGGGAGCCTCTCCGGGCGAAGCCCCTTCATAACCACCTGTCACCCAACCACCCGACACTCTGGGACAGCAGAGCGCAGCCTACGAACCCAAGTCCGGCATTTTGCAGGGCAACCTGAATGAATTCCTCTCAAAGACTGAAGACACGTCGGTCCCGATCACACACCCCCCACTAACTGAGTGAAGTCCCCCATGTGCTTCAGCGGAACCTCGCTCGGCTGCCAGCCATTTAGATGCAGCTGACAAGAGAGAACACCACGCACCTGCTCTGTCCTCGTGTCCTCAGAAAAAGCGGCACCTCAAAACATGTACCTGGACTGACAGGACAGTTTTTAAAAAGAAGGTGGAACGTAGGAGTCCGCTGTGAGGAGCAGTTCAAGAAAGGTCTGGCAGTGAACACCGCACGCTGTCAGTGTCTGAGCCACCGACGCCGACTACGAACAGCAGCCAGCGCCCCACACACCAAAGCGAGGTGAAGGATGCGGCACAGCGAGGACCACGGGAGACGCCGCTGCCAACGCGTCACCGTCTCCTCCCCACTGACGCGGCACCTTCGGGACGTTTTTCTAACTTAGTAAACATTTCCCAGAAGAAACGAGACAAAGAAACAAGAACCTAGTAAAGCTACTTAAAGACATAAAGGGCAGGTGACTGACGGGGGATCCACGTGGCGAGTCAGCACGTGCAGTCGCTCATGCTGCCTGCCCCCCTCTGACCCGCCCCGGGGTCCGGCCACGAGATCAGAGGGAGGCAGTCAGCCTGGCGACAGGAGAGATGTGGCATGACACGTGCTGTGACGCCCGTGCTGGACTTAAGGAAACGGTGGGTCACATCCTGCTGCGTGCGACCGTGAATTCCAGCCAACTTGCAGCAAAGAGTTGACAGCATTTACGGAAGACACACATAGACTTTCACTCAGCAATACCACTTTGGGGGGGACCCTGAGGAACAGCAACACCCCAAAGTCACGATGTAATTCTAAATGGTTGAGTTCAACCAGCGACGACACCTTCAGTCACAAATAACAAACCACCAGCCAAAAACCCGCTCAATCCGGACTACTCCAGGCTGTCTACTTGCACCTGGAGTCCAAGAGTGGGGTTGGTGACAGTTCCCGCGGTCTTGGGGGCAGCTCCATGTCCACCCATTGCGCTCCGAAGCATCACGTGGCCAGGTCGCTGCTCATCCTTACAGAGCCCTCTGGGGGGCCTACGGGAGCCAGGGCAGGAGAAACACCACTGCCACATGTGGCTGCTCATGGTGTGGATGGCTCCTGGGATCGGGGGTCTCCAGGAAGGAGTGGAGACCTGGATGCAGGACCCCACGCACTCACCATGGGGATATCACACGACAGCCATGCTTTAGAAACCAAACTTGAGACCCTCATTATGCCTGAGGCGGCCCTGCGGTTATGGCCAGGAGTGCAGGGGGTGGCTTCAGGCTGAGTGGGGTTTCCGGTCCACGCAGAGGGAGGGAAGGGCCCGAGTGGAGTGTGGGGACGGCCTGCTGCTCAGTGGGCTCCCGGCCCTGCCCTACCCCCACCTCAGGCGGCGCCAGCCCCAACCCCCTCAGCTTTCTCTCCCCTACGTCCCTATTTACGAAGTGCCATCACTACCACCCCCCGTCTGGGCCGAGTGCTGACGCAGGCAGGACGGCCAGGGGAGGCTGGGCCTGCTCAGCAGGGACTGCACAGCCAGCTCCTGCAGGCCCAGAGCTGTCCCTTGTCCCCTGTGACAACTGCTCTCTGTCTGGTGGAAGGGACGAGACTGAAAGGCGAGGCAGGCAGGGGCGAGGTCTGGCCTCCTCCGTGGCCTGTCGTCTGCTGCATGGCTCAGGTCTGGTCAGCAAAGAACAGTGCTTGCGGAGAACAACACTGACCCATGTGTGACCCCGTGTATGCCTAGACACGTATGCAGGACGCGTCAGAGAAGAGACCCTGGACTGGTCTGTCCCAGTTTTGGAACCGAGACAAGGAAAGAGAACAGGGAGAAAAACCAGACGTGGAAGTGAGTGAGTGTCCATGACGTGGGCTCAGAGCCGGGGCCAGGTGGCACCGGCCCGGGGCCCAGGCACAGGCATGCACGTACCTGAAGGAGGGGCGCTCTGCGTGGACCTGCGGGGGGCCGGGGGGCCCGGGGCCAGCGGCGCCCTTCCGGATGAGCTTGCCCGTGCTCGCGTCGTAGATCCGGACTTCAGGCCCCGGCTGGGCCCGTGGGTGGATGGGCGTCGGGTGGAACAGGGTGGGCGCGAGTGCACCCTGCCTCTCGGGAAAGGCTGCCGGGCCGTCCTCCCTGAGGGGTGAGAAGGGGGCTCATGAGGAAGCGGGGGACTGGCAGGGACACAGGACGCCCACCGTCGCAGCCTGAGAGCCGAGGACAAAGATGCGGACGTGACTCCTTAATTCTGAAGCACAAGTACTAGGTGCGAAGTGCCACTCGGCCTGTGTCCAGGGGGGCGTGCCCCCCGGAACCCCCGCGGTGTCCGCACCTGCCATTCTCCCATGTCTGAGGACTTTCCCTCTAACGCCACGTTCGAGCCCCGACAGACAACGGAAGCATCTTCAAGCCTTTCTCAACAAAACAGCCACTGTCCCCAGCACACAGGCCTCTCTCCTGCACCGCCACCCGAGTATTCGCTCCTATCTGGCTGCCACCCGGCCCCTCTGGCTCTGGTCACTGGCCCCCTCATACAGCTGGCACTCAGCTCGCACAACTCTCTGCAGCCGAGAAAGAAACACGTGAGCTATAGCCGCGGCTGCTTAACCGCGCCGAGTTAGGAGAGGAGCTGCCCTGACTTCCTCCCCCGGCGCTAGGTCGCCTTTGAGGTGCCCTGTGCGTGGGAAGCCCCAAGGGGTGGCGGCAGGGCGAGCAGGGCACAAGCAAGGGCTTGGGGCGCAGTGGCGGGCCGCCTGGGCCCCGGTGTGGACCGGGAAGGCTGCTGGCCCAGGGGACCGCCCCAGGACACCGGCCTCCGCCCGCCCGCGGGCCCCCTCACCGCGGGGCTTTGCCGTAGTCGTCGCTCAGTGGGAACAGCTGCTCCTCCACCCGGTCCCACCGCTCCAGGCAGCTCCACAGCCAGTCGGGGTTGACCACGTGCAGCCGGCCGCATTCCTGGGCCTGCCGCACCTTCTCCGTGCCTGCGTGGGACAAGGCGCTCAGACCCGTGCGGGGCCGGGGGCCCCGTGGTGAGGGTCGCACGCACCAGACGGTCCACAGGCAGAGCCCAGCCAGCATGGGGTCGTCACGCGCCTGCAAGGCGCTCCTGACCGCCCCGGAGGCAGGGAGCATTTGAGGGGTCAGCACGGTCCACCCCGGGGCCCAGAGGGGAGCCGCCACGTACCTGCCCGTGCCGCGATCAGGTGGGTGGCCCTGTCCGGGGCGTCGGGGTCCAGCACCAACTGAGTGAGGATCTTGGCCCCAAGGGCCGTGGCGTGGTAGTGCTCCCGGGTCTTCTCCACCGGGAAGTTGGTGGGGTGCAGCCCGCTGAATATGATGGCCACGTCCGCCAGCACTCTGCTCTTGAGCTCCGGCACGATCTTCCGGATGTCGGGGGCCTCCGGGGCCTCCCCGCGCAGATAGCGGTCGTACCGGGCGTAGTAGTCGGAGTGCACACGGGCGAGGATCTCCTCCAGGTGCACCAGGTGGTCGTCGGCGTCGGCGTCCTCCTCCTCCTCCTCCTCCTCCACGCTCTGGTCCAGCGACTCGCCCACGGTGATGCCCGACTGCTCGCTGTTCTGGGACTCGGTCTCGGCCTCCTTCCTGTCCGCACCGCCGCCCGCCAGCGCACAGAGGCTGTCGCGCTCGCTGTCGCCCTGCAGGTCTGCGTGCACGCCGGGCCCGGGCTCCGCGCAGTGGCCGGCCCCTGCGGGGGTTGCCCCTCCTGGGCCAGGGGCGCCACCCGGCAGCACGACTTTGCCAGTGTCCCGCACAGCCTTCGGCTTTTTCCGGCCCCTCTTCTCCCCGCTTTCGCCGTCAGAAGCGGCGGAGGACGACTGGCCCTCTGACTCACTGCTGCTCTCGCTGTCGCTGGAGAGCTCGAAGTCCAGGTCACTGCCGGCCATGCCCTGGGCGGGCCGCTTCTCGGCCGACATCCGGCCGTGCTGCTGCGCACACACCACGGGCCCCCTCCCATCAGCCAGCGGGGCGCGGACGGCGGGCCGGGCAGCCCTCTCTTCTGCCTGGCCACACAAGGGCCAGGCCCCGTTGACCTCCCTCGTGGGCTTCCCAAGCCCATTGCTCGGCTCATCCCCGGACGCCTGCCTGCCTTCTTCGGCGTCCTTGGAGGTCGGAGCTTGCTCGGTGACGTCTGCCCCTTTGGGAGGGTGATTCCCTGCACGGCACACAAGAGGAGAAGTCAGCACACTTCCTCCTGAAACGGGAGACAGCACACCTCCCGGGTTGTCCTGCATCCCATGGAGGGTTCCCACAACCTCGAGCCCGGGCTGTGCCCTGCATGGGGCCAGAGACGATGGGATTCAGGCACGCTCCCCATGTTTTGGTTTTTACAACGCTTTAAAAATGCACAACACGCTCTTAGATCATGGGCCGGACTGGCCTTGGGCAGCAGCCTGTCACACCCGCTCGAGCTCTGCCATCGAGCCTGTCCTGGGCAGGGACACCCTTGGGTCACATTCCTCCTGGCCTAGACCTCCGAGTTCTGTTAGTCACTGTGGCAGTAGCTGTATGCCTCAGAGTATTTTCCTTGGAAACTAAAGGTCACGAGAATCACTTCATACCAACACTACGTTTTCTCCTGACAGACGTTAGCTGCTCGCTGGCTTGACCGGTTAAGCCGCGTGCCCTGCAGGCCCCCGGCCAGGCCACCACCTGCACTACTGTGTGTTCTCTGCAAGGACTGCTGCGGCCCGGCCTCCAGTGTCCCACTTGGCCTTTAAGGAAGACTGGGACGAAAGGCCACGTTCAGATGTACTAAATTCAGCAGACTTCTTTAATCCTCACTCAACTACGAAACGTTCAGATTAGTGCCAGCAAGAAAAATTCCAGGCTGAAACCAAGCAACACCAGGTTTCTCGGTATAATGTAAATACCCCCCCGCCCCATATCTCCTTAAATATAAATAGAAACAAAGTGAGTCCGGACTTTCAAGCAGTAACAACATAGGTGACAAACGGAACACGGACAGGGAAGCAAACGCTGACTACGTCTCTGAGGACCAAAGGTGTCACCCACCTTTCTTTCTCGCCTGTGGCTCCCGGGACCCAGGGGGAGCATTGATGTCCCCTGTGCCCTGGAAGTAGACATATTTCTTCACGGTGATCAGATTGGGGGCAAACTTCCAGACATCTTCTCGATCATCGATAATGCACACCATTGAGTCTCCGCAAGGGAAGAGATTTCTAAAAGCAAACACATATCAAAACTTCTACAGCAATTTATAAAAAAGTAGTCACGAAACCGAAGCCGAAATAATCTTTTACGTGTAACCAGTGGACAGACAGCTGACTAGTCAGAAACAGACCCAAACCATAGGGCAGGGCTTTTAATCAGCTTACCTTGAATAACTGTTTCCAGAGAAGATGCTGCTGAAACAGTTACAATTTTCCCCACTGAGCACTTTTCTCCAGGGGCCAGAGAGTAAAGAGCAGTGCATAGGTGGCCACGCCCTGGTCCCCACAAAGGTGGCACAGACAACACTGAACGAGTAGCTGTGGCCACGTCCCAGTACGACTTTCTTTACAAACAGGTTATCAGCCTGCAGGCCTAAGGCTACTGACACGTGGCCCCCGCAGGGGGCTCCAGGCATGTGGGAGGGCACAGCCTTGCTCAAAGCTCGACGCTCAGCTAAGCGAAAGCGCCGAGCACCAACATGTCTCGTCAAGTCCCAAAAGATGCCTGTTGCATTCCCAAAAGCCACTCGGATGTGGCGGGCAAGCAGAATTGTTGACAAGGGTCCCCAAGCTCCCTACTGGATGCAGACACGCTCTGGTACCCTTTGGTGGCCTTGTCAGATCTCATTTGTCCACCCCTCTGAGATGCACATAGGCTCACAGCATTCAGAATCCAGAATGATTACTCCTCGGCCGCTTCTAAGATCAGGAGACAGACCCAGGAGAAACGCCTGCCACTGTTCAGGTTCTCCAGCTGCTGATAAATAACGAAGGCCGCAACGACCACAGGGCCACTCTGCGGAAGTGAACCCTGAGCAGCCTACGCAGTGACGCTTCCTGGCGTGTCATCTCTGGATCGAGGGCTGCTAGCATCCACACGAGCCAGGGCCTGCCACCTGTGCCCATCGCGGAGCAGGCTCATCCTGCCCCAATGTGCTCATCTTGGGTGGCTTTTCCCCTTAATAAATCTCCAGCACAGTCTCACATTTTCCTTTGTCCTCATCAATCTGCTCACTCTGACACTAGCAAACGCGAGTGTTTCTGGAACAAGTACTTCCAGACTCTCAGTTCACGCTGACCTGACTAGGTCTCAGTCTGTGTGGACACCCCAAAGCTGAAATCTCAGATGAGGGTGGCCAACACCAACCAAGAGGCCACTGAGACCAGAGCTGTTCCGTCTGGTCTCGTGAGGAGTCCGCGTCCAAAATCCAAGTGCCACCTGATACAGGATCATACTAGGGCCTGCCATCCTGCATAGAAATGGGGAAATTTCTTCCGCAGAGAGAGCGAAACATTTCCGAGGACATAAAACAGCCTTGGGACTGGGGTGACGGCCCTGTCACAGAAGCCAGAGGACAGGACGGGAAAGGCGTGCAGTGACGGCGTGAGCGTGGCAGAGCAGGCAGATGGGGACGAGACCCCAGGTGTCGAAATGCTCGGGGCGTTAGCAGCAGTTACGCTCTCGGGGAAATGTGAGCCAGAGACGCCCACACCCAGGCAAACGCCTCCTCAAACTCGAGACCCAGCCGACAGCCTGCCTTGCACTGGAGAAAGCTGGGGCTCTCCTGCCCACATCGTCCCCTTCATCTCCTGTATCCCCCAGCTCTGTTCAGTCCCCCCGCCCCATGCCTCTGTCTTCTTGGGCTCCGGCCTGAGTCCCCCAGGAGTTCACTCGGAGGCGGCAAGGGGAAGGGGTCTAGCGAGAAGACTGCCACGAGGTCAGTGGCAGAACGGGGGGAGTAAACGGAATCGCTGCTCTGAGGCTCGCAATGCAGTCTCTACGGGGGGACCGAACGGTGAGCCGCGGGGTGCACGTGGCCAGGTACGTACCTAAGGTTCCCTGTTTTAGAGAACGGGTCAATACACTCGTCTCTCGATAATATTCGATGAGAAAAAAGCTTCTTCTCAGGATCTAAAAAGCCTATAAAGAGAAAAGAGGACAAAGGTGACGTGTGTAAGACCCACTGAGGGCCCCGTGCACAGAGCGTCAGAGACACGGGAACCCCGCACTGGCGTCACACGCTCTTCTCTGTCACGGCCGCCACCACGCACGGCTGCTCTCTCACCTCGCCGTTCTGAGGGCAGTTGTCACGAAACAAACTGAACTTGACGTGATCTGGAACTGTGCCAGGAATGGAAGACACAGGTGAACGAGACTCAGAGCGTCACTCCCCAGGAAGCTCAGTCCTGGCAGAAAACATGTGGCTGCACGGTTTGTGCCCACCACGCTATGGGCCAGGACCCCTGACCCTGGACGAGTGGCCGTCCCGCGGTGGGGCTGTGACTCCGGTTTGCCACGGCGTGTCTATCACCCTCTGTCGTCACCATTTCCTCAGACAGGCTCCACCAGCTGCGCCACCCACACCCTGCCCGAACCAGATCTCTGAAGTTGCGAGTGTGACACACACGGTTTACTGTGTCGCACTGTCGGCTGATGTACGCACGCCGTAATTAAACACGCGGTTTCTCCGTGCCCCTCAGTCCCCCGCACACTGCCCGCGTGTACCGCATGTGGGGCGCACATGCTCTTCTTGAAGCCATGCTGGACACGGACAGACGCAGCTGCCACCTCCAGAGGTTCAAATCCCTGAGATCACTGAGTCGTAGCATTTCGTTAACAGAAAATACTTGCTCTTCTGTCACATTGTTTTTTATTATATAAAGAACATGTAAATTCACATGAACACGGAAGCCACTCAGTGGCTTAAACCAGAAATTAATAAAATTACTAGTTATCTACAATAATAAATAGAAAGTCTAACCAAAATACTTCTAATTATACTAAAAACTCACATTCTGTGAAAACAGTTAACTTTCAAAATAAAAAGCTGACAAGAGCCTCAGAAACCATTGTTGTTAAAAGGCACGATCACATATCAGACAGTCTCAGGCGGTGGTTGTCATGTGCGAATAATTAAATCGCCTGGATAAGCGCTGACCCCTTTCAGCTACAAACACGACGACTGGGCAGACGCCAAGCTCAGAGCGCCCAGACCGCGGCCTCACCGGGCCTCGCCCAGGCCGCCCTGCTGTCGGAAGGCCTATCCATCCTCAGAGCCACAAGGGTGTCCGTCCTGTGGGAGATGGGCTCCCTCCCAGGTCCTCTCATGGGAAACATCAGCGGTCTCGATGCCCCAGCCAGGGTCAGGGCAGCCACACAGGCAGCCGTGCGCACCCTGATCTGAGGCTGCTCTGCTGAGGGTCTCTCCACCCTGCTTAACTGGGACACTGACCTGCAGTCTCTGTGCGTCTCTGAACGTGCTGGAATGGGGAATTCTAAAGGACAAAGCCCAGCCTACGATAAGGAGGCTCGGGCTGCCTGCAGGCAGGCCTCACTCAGGCCACAGCACTGCTGCACAGGTCCCCGGGGCGGGCCCCGTGCAGACGCGCTGTGAGCCTCTGGGGACACCTCCCGCAGGCACTTTTACTGAAGCTGGCATTTCTTCACTGTTACTGTGTGCCTTATGAATCGATATCTAAAGACACCAAGGTTCCAGAGGTGAAGCCACAGTGACTTGGTCTGTGCCTGAAGGACATAACCTCCTATTTTCACGTGGGATCTGAGAATTCTGAGTAGGGACATTAGTTTTCAAATCACATCTCCCAGGCAGCCACACAGCAGCCATATGCCAACGGCAAACATGTTGAATTTCAGTTACAAAGTAAATTAACTTCGCGTTGCTTTCACGTTCATGATTAAAATTTCCTAGAACACTCGCGTCAATGGGGGTGCGACATTCACTTCTCCATAATCAAGACAGAACAAACCTGTGAACTCCACAACCGCGCATCTGATAAACGAAGCAGTGACGTTACAGTGCAGGCACCAGCGTCCACCGATGGGTCACAGGGGGCCGGAGCCCAGCTGCCTCTAGTAGGTGAGGCTCAAGCCCTACACTCTGACCCCAGGCAGAGCTGCCGCTGTGGGGAACGCTGCGTGGCCGGAGCTTCTGCCGACACGCACTGCACGAGCTCGGCTGGCACCACGACAGTTGATGGGAAACCGCCGCCCGGCTGGCTGCCGAGACCGCGGTCTACTCTCTGCTTCAGTGCACACGGCCGCGAGCACCGTGGCTCCAGGGCTGCGGGCGAACCCGTTCACAAAACTGTCTGAAGCACATTTCCGTAGAGAGCTTCCTTCTCACATCTGCTGTCCTGACCAACTTCCAAACTGCTCTGCAGGGCGCGGCTGGCCACATTGACAACAGCCCACCCATCTGGCCTCAGTGACAGCAGCCCGCCCATCTGGCCTGGCCTGAGGGGTCCCAGCAGAGCCGGGAGGCCTCTTCCCAGGGCAAAAGGAGCTGGCACATGCAGAGACTTAACGCTGGCTGGCCACCCCCAACTGCTGGCTCTACATGAGGCTGAAACTGACCCTCCTTCATCTTCGAGAAAACATCACAGGAAATGGGAACGAGGTCAGCCTGCATGTTCCGGTCGCAACACGCTCGGTTGGGTCAGCAGCCGCCCCCTCACCTGCGATTGTGTGCGCGTACAGCCGGCTCCCGAAGGTGAAGACGTGCAGCTCGTACAGCCTGGCGACCTTCTCCAGGAACTCCCTGCAGTGTGGACGCAGGCGAGTGTGCAGCATCGGCTCGCCTCGGCCCAGCTGGAAGTGGAGGATCCCCTGCAGAGAGGGGCGCCGGTCAGGGGGCCCCCAGGGTGACACGGACGCTCTGTCGTCAGAACCAGGGGCCCCCGACGCGTGATCTGCGGGGCGCAAATGCGCTCTGCGCCCGTGCTCTGCGGTGTGACTCGGCCCTCTCTGCTGCATGCAGCAGCTACCTACAGAAGAACCCCAGCACCTGCCTCCGACACTCACGGTTCCCACCTACGAAAAGCAAGGCGAACGTCTGTCGTAAGCCCAGAGACTGCTTACGCACAAACAAGTGCAGCTTCTACCTACGAACAGGGACAACTACTCAGTCACTCGGGCGTCAGGGAAGGCTGCGCACGTCGGCAGACCCTTACACCTCCTACTTCGTCCACATGCGTTCTGATCGTGGACAAAGCAGTGTCCCTGAGTGCTGCCACGCACCTGTTTGACTCTTCAGACACTAGTGTCTGTCAAGCAGCAGCAACTCAGTACTGTGGGGACAGCATCCTCCTCGGTCATCCACGAGTAAGCCACACGTCCCCACCTAACTTGATCTGACTCAGACCATTTTAAGACGCAGCTTTAACTTACAAACACAACCTAAAGCTGACACGATATCCTAAATCAAGGAACACCAACTGGCTCACACGCGACTCACGTGCAAGTAAGCTCACTCTCCTTGGGAAGCTAAACCTGGATCCTTTTAATCCTGTTTATCATTGATTTTCTTGGTAAAAATATACTCTAAACAACCACCAAAAAAGGAAGGTAAGCAACCTCAGACTTGTTAATTTTTCACTTGCTCTGCATTTAGTTAAACCTCTCACAATGAGGCTGTTAAAATTCAGGAGCGTGAAATTTCCTAAGCAAATCTCATCTTCCCCCAAGACCGCCCTCCTTTGTGTCCACTCCACTGCTGGCCCCGGGGCCTTCCAGGTCTCTCTGCAAGGTCTAAGCCCCGCTGCCCGACGTGGCTGGGGGTGAGCCTGGCCCACGATGGGCTCGGGTGACGAGAAGGGGAGTGTGTCGCCTGACGAGGACTAGTGTGGGGAACCCACCCGAGCATAGGCCCGAGGCCCAGCCCTGCCAGGCGAGGCTGACGGGGTCGGCCGTCAGTCTGCCCCTCACGTCCTGCCGGCCCCGAGGACGCTGCCATGGGAGGCCAGCGCGCTCACCTTATTGGACATCCGCTGGCAGTGCTGCTCGGTGGTGTGGATCAGCGTCTGGTCCAGGTCGACCATGAGCACCAGCTTCCTGTTCCGGTGCAGCCGCTGCTGGTCCTCCCTTCCCAGCTGCTCCGCTTGCTGAGGTTAAAACGAAAAAAACGCCAGAGTACGTATACTACCATCCAAAACAAAATCTCGTTTTATTCGCCGGCTCCGTGTGGTCCGCACCACTCAGGGCACTCTGCTTCGTGACCCTAACCCTACAGTTTCGCAAAGTACATAAACCAATAAAAAAGGAGGCAAAAGCAAGTGTCGTCCCCACGAAGACGCAGCTGGATGCAATGGAACAGCCCGCATCAGGGAGCTTCAGGGTTAGTGCGGGAAGCAGGAAGGGGTGCTGGGAAAGGGGACAACCAGGGACACTAGCAGGGTGGCACCCTGGAAGAGACCCAGGCACGTCACCTCGCTCGGCCAGGGGAGGGAGGTGACATGCGCTGTGCAGAGGCTTCAGAGCCGGCACACACCCCCTCCAATTTCTCACTGAACTGATACCCAGTCCCAGTGTGAGCAGCCCTGTGGCCTGACCAGGTGGACAGAAGTCCACTGTCTGCTCCTGAAAGGGATTAAGGCCACAGTTACTCTGCTGGTACAGCGACGACGGAAGACACTTTCTTCTCTTCTCCACAAACTTCGTAATTTCGTTTCACACACACTTACTCATGTATTTACATTTGTTTAAAGTCCAATAATCCAAAAAAAGCCAGAATCGTGTACCTGGTATTCTGTCCCTCCCACAAAACAGAAAGTAGATACCAGTTAAAAGCACACATCTAACAAAATTGTTACACTGAAAAATGTATCACAGAAACGCACAGCTCCGAACCTGCACCACAACTAAGTTTTTAGATAACTCTGAGGTGAACCTGGGCCCTGTGATCTGTCCTGGTGATGCTCACTCACTCCAGCATTTAGACCCGACCCAGGACAGCATGGGCTGTCAGGATGCCTGCGACCAGCACCGCCCCAGGACTGTGGGATGCAGGACAATAAGAAAACGTAAGGTGAGGCCCGAAGCTTCTTATCTGCTCAGACAGCATGTGAATCCCTGTGTCCCCGTGCCTGCTGGCACACAAGTGCCCAGAGACCGCCCCTCACCCGCCCCAGAGCCCGCAGCCACTTCGCCAGCAGGCCAGCTACACCGCGTCTACCCTCAGACCCTGACCTTGGCCTCCAGGACCAGACCTGCCCTTCACAGACCCCTGCTCACCAAGCCCCAGGCCTGCCGTCCCCGAGAGCTCCTCCAGGGAGGGGCCAGGCACAGCATGCTCCCCCCAGCGGCTACTTTGGAAACAGGGCGACCACAGAGTGGGTGCTCCCCAGCCAGGCGGACTCACCTCGGAGCTCACCATCAGCTCTGGGACGCTGTGCACCATGGACACGGTGGCTGTGGACAGCGGCACCTGCTGCCTCCCGTTCTTACTCTGCAGCCTGTGGAGGGAGAGGGGCCGTGAGGTGGGCGCCCGAGGGGACGCGCTGTTTTACCCTAGTGCCGCCCTCATTCTCGGGGCGACTGCCGAGCCCCCTACCACTGAAAACACACAGGGAAGCCGGCAAACACACCGAGCTCTGGCCACACCTTCAATGCTCCCAACCGCAGGCCGCGATGGCCACACTGAAACACGGGGCGCCCCGAAGGGAAAGCGCTCGGCACGTGCACAGCGGGGTGGCGACGGCCGCCGGGCACAAGGGGAGAAAGCACCCTGGACCCCCCAGCGCCACCCTCCCATGCCGGCCGAGCGTCAGACGGCGGTCAGGGCTCCCAGGCCTAAGGAAGCCGAGCCGGGCCACGGCGCCCGCCTGCGACCGCAGTCAGGTCCCCACGCCCCCGTGCCCCTCCGTGGTGCACGTCGGAACCACAGGCACCGCCGGCACTCCCGAGCGCCAGTACTTACTGAGTGAGGTCTTGGCCACATTCGGCACACAAGCCTTTCATGACAACTGGGTGGCTACAGCCCTCCAAGCGCACCAGGACCGCCCTGGAAACGAAGCATAGTCACCCGTTGGCGGGGGCACGCTGGAACCCCTTGCTGTGCCTCGCTACCCCAGACGGAGCACCTGAGGGGGAATGAAGGCTCCGCCTCTCCCAGCGGCTCTCCAGAAACCCCAGGCCGGATGCGCCTCCCTGGGGGCCACGTCCCTGGCTGCACGGGCGAGGCAGGCTGCCCCACAGACCATCAGCTCAAAGACCTGGATGTCCACGAGGCGAGGAGACTTGGGGAGAATGCGAAATGTCTCAAATCGCGTTAGATATTTACCTGCAATCCTTACATCTCCCGTAAGCAGCATGTACGCAAAAACTGAAACTTTGTTAACACAGAAAGGAACCACTTAGTTTGATACTGACAACTACTAAACCACTGCCTCCCACGTATTCCCAGTCCGGAGAGAGGCTATGATTCATCTGTTTTTCTGATAGAACTATTATAATGCTTCTAGTTTTTATAAACACAGAAACTCCATTTCCTTGGGAAGTCACATCTAAGCCTGGCTGCGTGGAAGCAGCCTCTGAAGGCGGCTGGCCGACAGGCTCTGAGCCTACCAGCTGCGTGACCAGAACCCCGGAGTCGCGCCCCGGTGCCTGTGGGGGGCTTTCCTCATGGGCTTTCCTCTGCGGGCAAGGGCTGGCCCACCGGTCAGTGCCAAACCCGACCTCGTCACTCGCCTCCATCCCCAAGCCTCTGGACCGCACCTGACTCTCGTGGGCAGACAGAGCCACTGATCAAATGGTACCCCAACACCCCCTTGTCACACGGGACCTCTTTCCTCCCTCCCCCTGCCCCGTCTCTACTGCTCACAGCCAATCACTCGAGGCACCCTGACTGGGCCCAGGCCTGGGGCCCTATTACCCGCCACGCGTCTGCGCCACGCACCACCTGCTGGTCCCCGTCATTTACCCTCTGCCTGGGGCGCGCTCTGCCCTGCTGTTAACACCATTCAAATCGCTTCCAAAAACCTGCCCCAATTTCCCATCTCAAACAAACAAGAGCCGTGAGCCAAGCCCTCCACCACCCCCCACACAGTGCCCCTATGGGCTCTGGCCAAGGACCCTCGTTGCCCCAGCTTCCTGCCCACCTCCCTGGGCACCTGAATCTCCTCAGCCCCCACTGCTGAGTCTGTGCTCTGGTTTCTAGGGCGCGTTCGGGCCCAGCTTCAAGACCTCGGGCCAGCTGCCCTTCTCCACGTGCGTGGCCCGCAGCACCCCACCCCCCAAAGGCACCCGGATACCATCCTTCCAGTTTTGCTGGCTCACCAAGCTCCGCAGGAGCCCAGCGCCCTGTTCTTCACCTGCCGTGGTCATCTCCCAGGGCTCCTGCATCGAGGACACGCCCTCTGTGCAGACTGCACATCCTGGGGTCTCACCCCACTTCCCAGACCTGTTTTCCAACGCTCCGTCACTCCATCTACACCAACCCCCACCCTGCCACCAGGCACAGAGGGCCAAAGGAACCGCCTGAGCGTACACAGGCAGAGTCAGCCACAGACCGGCCAGCGGGGCCCCTGGGACTCGGTAAACACTGCTCACTCTGCCCCCGGGAAGCTGGAGAACCAATGGGTTCATTCGCCAAACTACAACGCTTCAAGTGCTGCTCCTGCATACAGTGTAATGACAGGTCCTGCCAGCCCCCGTCACGTGAGAACATGCAGGCCACACCGCACCAGTGATGGGGGCGCCGGGCTCCAATGTCCAGGTGCTGCTTCTCTATGGGCAGCTGACAATGAAAACTGACAGAAGTTTGCACTTAATTCACTTTATTTTTAAACTAAAACTTATGGTTTAGAGAACATTTTTTTAGGAAACCTCAAAAACATACCAGAAAGGTTTCATCGATCGCCCCAAAACACATTAACCTAAAGAAATATTCGGTGTCTCCAGCTCAACCAAATAAATAGGTCGCGCGCTTGGTAAAGAGCGTGTTTCGGGTCCGCAGCCCGTCTTTCTGTTTCCTTACGTGTCTCTGAAGACCCAGGTCTTGATTCTGATGAAATCCGATATGTCAACTTTTTGGAGTCCTCATCAAGAAACCTCTTGCCTGGGGTCACTTTGGGAACCCAAAGGGGCCAGCTAACGCCACAAGATTAACTCTGCTTTAGGCAGAAAGAAACTTCCAGGACAGTCCCAGACGAGGTGACATCTGGGTCTTGACACAAAAGGAGGAAGCAGGTGAAGTGCTGGCTCAGACTCCTGAGGTGAGAGCAGGGTGGGTGCAGGAGGCAGCTCTGAGACGAGGGGGTGCCACTGAAGGGAGCCTGGCCGAGAGCAGGTAGCAGACAAGCCCCGCACACTAGCAAGGTGGCCGAGGCAGGCCGGACCAAGAGAAGCCAGCCGCACGCACGCTCCTGGGACCAACCTGCCCCCGACGACTAACACAGGAAGGAGAAGGGAAGAAACAGGAGCGAGACAGAAACAAGACCAGCAAGTTCTCCCGGAAAACAGAGCGAGGGAGAGCCAAAGGCCACTGGCAGTGGGCACAGCCAAACGTGCCCCAAGATGTGGCCAGACCCAGGATGTGACCCCAACAAAACAGCCAAAGGGTCTTTGGGGGAGCCTCACGATTAAAGATAGGCAGAAAAAAGAAGGTCAATCTAAAAAAAAAATTCAGTGTTCACAGAGGCCCACGGCAGACGTCACGGAGAGCACATCTCAGGAGAGAGAGGGTGAGTGTTAAATGCCTCCAAGGGAAACCGGATGGGGTCGGCACGTCTGTGTGGACGAGGGAGGCGGCCATATCTGACCGTGGGCGCTGGTCCCCACGTGTACACGTCTGTTGACACGCACCAGGCTGCACCTGAGCCGCGGCACGGTCCTGGCCCATCATAACACGAGGCCGAGGCCATCAGATCTGTCGACTGACAGCTGCTGGTGACCTTTGAGAAAGGCCCTCAGCAGAATTCAGCAGCAGGACAGGAGGGTCCAGGCTGCTTCCAGGGGACTCGTGCCTCTAGCCCCCACGCCCCCCTCATATCCCCAACACACATCTGCTCCACAGACGGCCCCACCCCTAGGCTACTTATAACCTGTGTCCTACGGCTGAGAGAAACCCCCACGTGTGCACACATGGAGGCCACCTTCTGTCACCCTGCAGACCCCTGGGACCTCATCATATCACTCCACAGCCACCGTGACCCAATGACGTGCGTACCTGATGACGTGACCCCAAGCAGTGCTAGAGGTCCCTCTGCCTGAACAGCCCGAGTGTCTCTCACACTGCACGTCCTCTCAGCTCCCACTGCCTTGGGTGACACATGGCATGCCCTGCCTGTCCTGCTATAACCTGAAGGCCGACCGGACCCCGAGTCCTTGAAAGAGGAAGCCGGCGCTGACCCTGTTCTGAGTCCTGGGCAGAGACAGAGCAGCTGGCAGGGCCCCGGGGCGAGGACATGCCGCAGGCTCCTGCACCTCTCTCTGAAGTGCTTCACATACTGACGTCACGAGTCGTGTAGTTCTCTGTGCCGGGATAAAAGGTTTCGCCCATCTAATTCTGTAGGGCAGATCAGGGCTCCAAGGGACACTGGGCACCTGGCGACGTCTCCGCTGTCATCACTTGGAGCAGGCCCTGGGTATCTAAAGGGTGGGGGCCGGTTCACAAGGCTCTCCTGGTGGACATTCCAGAGCTACACCCATGAGCAGCCTGGGTGTCCCCGACGTTGCGGAGCCATCTGCCTCCCAGAGGAGAGCGTCACTGATGGCCAGGAAACATCTACGAGGCCCTGCTCACGAAAGGCTGGTGAGACAGCTCAATCACCTGAGGAGACCTGAAGAAAGAGGACGATGCTGGACGCCGAGAACCACACAGACGTGGGTGCTGCGCGAAGCCACAGGACCCACGCGTGCTGACCCACGTATGCACAACCACCGTCAGCGAACACGTCGGAAACACATGTGCAGAACTCATCAGCCAACTCGACCCTCGTGGAACGCCCTGATTTAAACCTGGACGTCTGTTCTTGACGTGTTACCTTTTCCCACCTGCAGATGCTGAGAATTCAAAACTCCACATTTGCCAAGTATTAAACGAAACATTTTTGCATTTGTTAAATTTAAGCTCGAGGTCTCCAACCTGCATTTGGCCTAGTAGCCTGTGCCGAGTCACCTAATGTCTTGGTAGGCTCTGCACAGTACACAAGCTAGGACGACAGGCACGGCTCCCTGTGCGCACATTCGGTCTGTCTGTACCTCTCCTCCCTCCTGGGCTTGGGGCTGGCGAGGCCACCAGCAGGAAGGCTGTGTGCGGAGAGGAGGTGGGGTGTGAGCTGTCAAAGCGAAGTGAAATGTCAAACAACGTCCCCGAGTACCCGAGTCAGAAAACACAGCGTGCTGCAACCTGCAAAGGGGCCCCAGTGACGTCACTTAGAAACCTACAGCTGTCAACAAACCAAACCAGCATGCTAATACTACAGCTGCCGGGCCGAGGAAAAAAAGCGATTAAAGAATAACCTATCTCCACTCAAATGGCGTGGCGGGAGTCCTAAGTGTTCACCAAGACGTTCAGGACAGTGGTTGGCTAAAGATAACGTTGCTGCGTGCGGCCATCCGGCCATCCCCGCCTAACGGTCCATTGAGCCGGGTTTCTGGATCTCCTGCAGCTCGAGGAGCCCAGGGCGCAGAGCCAGGCTGGACTGCACCGGAAATGCACAGATGGCACTGCCCAAGGGCGGCCCACGATGGTCTGCTCCCGCCACTCACCGATACTGCATCAGGCCCGGGCACGACCGCTCAGAAACCACCTCTACGATAAAGGGGGAAGAAAGACCTATTTTCTGTCTCATTTCAAAGATCATTTGGGATTGCCTCGCAATGTCGGAGCTGAGTATGACACAGTCCCAGCACTTCTGCAGCTTTGCACAGCCTAAAAACTTCTCAGAAAGAAAAAAGATGGGACGGCCAAGAGAAGACAGGGGATCAGAAACACACGAGGGTGACGTTCTTAGTGCGGGCGTATCCACCCTTCATTTCTGCCAATACTGTCACGAGACAAGGGACGGACAGCCTGAGGACCTCAGCATCTCTGCTCTCAATCCGTGGAGGAGCGCTGCACGGCAAGCCGAGAGACCCTGCTTTAGCCCAGGAGACCAGCCTCAGAACACCAAGTCAGCCTTACTCTCCAGGGCAGACCAGGGCTCCAAGGGACACCAGCAGCAGGCAAGGTCCCCTGGGAAACAGAGCAAGGGAGGGCCAGGGGCCCTTCTAACTTCTCTGCTTTGTCCTTGAATGCACAGAAAAAGCATGAAATGCAATTTCTAAACAAATTATTTACTGCCAATATACACATGTACCAAACTCTCCTGAATCGTTTGTCCTCATCTGCTTTCTCATCTGCTCTAACAGGGAGGTCAGAGGGCACGGTGTACTGGCAAGAGCAAAGCCCTGAGGGTTGCATGCCCTGGACTCTGCAGGTAGAGCGCTCACCGGTAAATGCTGGGCTGGACGGGCCCGGGCCCAGCACAGGTCCCCAACAGAGCAGCGAGGCTGAAGATCTGTCCTAAGCCCGAGGACTGAGTCCCGGGGTGGCCTGGGGAAAGTAAGAGTGCCCTGTGCGCCCAGATCCTGGCTTCCAAATGCCATTCCCCACCAAGAGGAAGCAGAACTCCTCAGGACGGACGGCTGACTCCAGAACTGGGGTTGAGAGACCTGGAGCCTAAACACTATCTGGGCCTTGTCAGAGGAGCCAGCTTGAAGGGGCTCCCATCGACCACAGCGGGGATAATGAGCATCAACACAACAGTGACGTAATCCACTGGATAAGACAAGAACCCATGAGTCTCCACTGATGAACTGGTTGTTTGTACAGCAGAAAGCCAGCACTCTATGCTCCTAAAACTGTTTGCTGCTGAGTAACCCGCAACGCGGTGAAGACGAAGCCCACTGATGACAGTGACTATGAAGAACGGACACTTTAGCTAGGCGGGCCTGGCTCTCCAATGGCACTGCACACACATTCTCTCACCTGTGTTCCAGGAGAAACTCTATCAGCCATCAGCTTCTCAAAGAGCCCTGTGCTGAACCATTGCCAAAGGGTACCCCAGACCTCAAACACTAAGACCCCAAAAAGAAGAGACAACTCACTGTTGGAAACTTGTCGTCCCGTCAGGCGTGCGGCTGATTGGTGAGATAAGTAACTGGGCGACCCTATCCCTGGGTGGCTCTGATTCGCCAGACGGCTGACAAACCTGCACGTGGAGCTCCCCACTAACTAGCTGTGCTGTCAGACGCGCCTGGGCCCGGGCGGCCTTCTGGGTCCGATCAGAAGCAGAATGGCAAGGAGAAGAGCGCTTCGCCTTGGGGGTTTTCTACACGGTGACACACTAGCACTGGGCTTCACCACCATCACCCACAGGCTCATTAAGGCCCCGGTAAGGTCAGGCAAGCTCTGACTTCAAAGTGATGATGACAGCATACCATGTGAGCCCCTCCCTTCTAAAGGAAGCCAGGCAAACAGCTTCAGTGGAGGGGGCAGTCCTGAGGCCATGTCCAGCCCGTCCCACCAGCATTCAGAGGGATGTCATGGGCCCCTGAGCTGGAGGCCTAGGACCTGGGCTCTATCTCCAAAGAGAGAGTGGACGTAAGATGAGGCTCCAGGTGCTGGGATGGAGGCCGGTCCTATCCCAAGCCGTCCTGGTCGTCAGCTTCCAGGAAGGAGCAGATGCTCAACAGCTGGAGGGTCAGTGCGAGCCACAGGAAGAAGAGCTGAACCAGAGCAAGCAGCACCGCCAGAGAAAAGCAAGAGTGGACAGAAAGGGGAGTGGGGGCCTGGGACACACTGTGATCCCCACAGAGGGGAGCTGTGTACCAACCTCTACAGCAGGAGGTGGGAACGCTCACCTGCCCTGACTTTCTGTCCGACAATGGGAACAACCCCGAGTCTCTTGCATATGCCTGTGCCCACACTTCAACCCAATCTCAGGAGCATAACACTGGTAAACTCAGACACGAAGTATGCCGACAAGTTCACGCGCTTCGAAAAAGGAAAACAGCCGCTTTGTGAGGTTAAAACCTAAATTACCCGCAGCTAGAACCTGTTGTAGTATAGGAGGGTGAGCTACCAGTCCGTCACCCTGAATTACCTGTGCTCCACCTGCCCCTGCTTTCTGAACCATGATGCAGAACTGCGCCAGGTTTTACAACCGCGTCTCACAAGGTTTACGAGAATCTAAAGTGGACACCCCAACACTTTACACTGCGATGACAAGAGTGGAGCGTGCTGATTCGTTCAGTACTTGCGGTCGCTTCGAGTTTTCCTAAACTACAAATACGAACTCTTGGGAAGAAGCATCCACTATGAAAAGGAACGAACACAACCGCTTTCCAAATAAAAATCTCAAATAGGAATTGTCATGCAGCCTTAGAAAGGCATGCAGACGCGCAGCTGGAGGGGGCGGGTCCTACTTTCCAAATTTCTCCCCGACCGCAGTCCTTTCAGCTGCAGCCCCGGGGACCCATTTCTTCCTGCCTCGTGCCTGGCCTTGGTGCTCTCTCCTGGCCCCGGAGACCCACCCTTCCCTCCTTCCCTCCCGTCTCCTGTTTCCCGACCCACTCACCCGGGAGCCACCACCTGGCCCGGCTGCGCGCACAGCTCCCGCACCACGCCGGCGCGCTCCGACCTCAGCCTGCGCTCGCCGCGCACGCAGCCCCCGGAGCCGGCACGAGGAGGGGCAGGCCCGGCGGACTGCGTGGAGGCAGCGGCCTCGCACACG